TCTAATGGCCCTTGATAGCAAACATGGTTAAAAATTAACAGGCTGACAAAATTAAATATGGATGGCAAGCAACCACTTTGGACTTCATCTGACACAGAGTATTACACGCTTGGGCACCCTCCACCCGAGTGGCGTCTGGAGGGAACTTGGAGATGTCGAAGTACATTTCACGTGCCTCTGTGGAAGCAGGAGCCCAACCTGTGCTTAGGACAGGCAGGAGTCCAAAGGCCAGGAGAGAAAATTGTCCCTGGTGGCTTGTGTTTAATCCTAGCCTTGATAGGTCTTAGCAGGAGGTGTTCATGGTCCTGGGACCTTGCTTTTGCAGTCTAGACCTTGTGCCTGCCCAGGCTTAGGCCTCAGCAACTGATACCCTACCACCACAGGGCTGGGTGGGGCATGGCCTTCTCCTGACAGAACTTTCATGCTGAGCTGTTTTCTAGCTGCCAGGGTGGGTAAAATGGCAGGCTTAACCTGTGTGGACCAAGTCACACAAACCTTGACATTTTACCTAGGTAAGAGCACCATGTTAATTGCCCTAGGCAGAGAGTGTGGGGTGCTGGAAAAAGAATGTGTGCTTCTGCTAAGGGAGTGGGCTGCCAGCTTGGGGCGGGTGGAAAAGAATGGGTGTGGGTTCCTTAACAAGTCACCCTCAGTTCATGTGGTCCAGGCGTTCCTGGAAAGGCTTCTCCCAGTTTGGGTTCATGGGGAGTTGTTGTTTAAAAAAGCCAGTGATCAGTGAGCTGATAAGTCAGCACTCCTCACTGTTGGGGGAGTCTGGAGTGCCTCGGAGCAGAATGTGCTTCTGACTTGCAGCCCCCTCAGCCTGGCTGCCCCTGGCCTCCTGCTGAAGGACCTGAGGATGCCCCCCTCCCCCAAGAGGAGATCCCATGGTCACAGCATGTGACACAGAGCTGACTGTCATTAAATCAAGGTGTGAGCAGCTCACTGCAGTTGGCTCCTGTGTAGGGGACATTAACAACATGGCATTCAGGATTCCATTTTGGGGACAGTAGTAAAAATCTGCCTAAGAATATACAGGCCTTCAAAACTGATTAATCCATTAGTTTTCACATAAAATACTTGTTCAAGGTACTGTTTTTAACTGTTGTGTAAAAGAGGGTCAGTTTAGTTGTGACTACAGTGTCCTGGGACTCCACACAAGCATTAGGAAAGTTCCCAGGAAATGAGCTGCTCCACAGACACTGATCTAAGACACCACTGTTTTGGTGGTTTCCCAGGGCACACTGGCAGGGGCCTTCCAGATCAACATTTCTCATCCAACAGGAATGAATAGCTGGTACAAAAACCAAAAGATTTCGTAGTCTGATGAACCTGGGAAACCTAGGATTAGCTCAAATCAAGCAGGTTCTTTTACTTTGGAGCTTCTTGGAGCCGTTCATGTGCTGCTTTGTGGGCCCTGTACAGCAGTTCTAGACTAATCATTTTCCTGCCACACTTCTGGAAACCTCAACTAGACAGGGTCTCTCAGGCCTGAGTGTATTATGATCCTCGATAAGATGCAAGCCATTGGGCCCAGCCCTGGAGTCTGCATTTTTAACAAGGGCCAGGTGAGGCTGGCAGTCCAGGGACCACACTTGAGAAACATGGATCTGGACTTAATCTCTCACAGAAGAAAGTCACCAAAACAAATCGTGTTTGCTGACAATAGTGACCTTTACTCAAGCACTTGGTGAGCATTTCTCATGACTGTTTCTACAGGCAAGTAAGAGCATGGGACTCGTTCACGAGAAAGTCATGGAACAGGGCCGTTCTGCCTGTGCTGCTCAGGTGACTGTCAGAGGACAGGGAAGGTGCACTGGACAGGGGGCTGCCCTGAAGAGAGGGTTTTCCTGTCTTTGACGTCACTAAAGTCTGTGTGTGCTTTACTTCTCTGGGCCTTAGTTTCCTCATCTGTAAAGGGAAGGAAGTGGAAGTTATTTTTGTGGATACTTAACTACTTTCTCTAGCGTCCCACTTTATTTTTGCCCCAGGCTATTTTCTCCCTGGCTATCTCTTACACTTGTCCAGTCTGTCATCACGCTGGGGTGTTGGATCCTGACAGTGTTGACCCTGCAGAGGTGCAGATTTTAAAAGGGCATTCCTGAAGAGGTGTGGCGGTAGTACCCAAACAGCATGGCCCCTGGAAGGGAATTGCAGCACCAAGAACTGGTCTAGTGGAGGAGACTGCCAGAGTCTCTGTGTCACTTACTCGGATTTCACAGTCAGAGTGAGGTCTCTGGCACAGACTAAGTCAAGGTCACTGTTGGTTCAATATAGTCTGTTAGAGGTTCTTAAGGGGACCCCAGAAGTTCCTGGATTGTATGGGAGTTTTTGAACACGCTTGTGTGTATGAGAGAGGTGAGAGAGCGAGTGAGAGAGACAGGCCACACATGTGCATGTTTCTGCAGACAGGAAGGAGGATCATTGCCTTCCACGGAAGGCCAGACCTTATTGCAAGATGCTGATGAGTAGACATGCCCCTGCCGAGTCCGGGGCAGCTGCAGGTTCTGCTGCGTTCAGGGAGCATCTGAAGCAGCCTCCAGGAGTGACCTCGGACCCAAAGCCACAGCAGAACGAGCAGCCTGAGTGAGAGTGAAGGGGGAACCCTGCCTTTACGAGCCCTCACGGAGCAGTGACTGGCACAAACACAACACAAGTTCACCTGGAACCTGGCTGTCTGAAACAGCACCTCGGCCCAGGCCTGGCGGACACTGCCCTCTGCTGGAAGCAGGTCCAGTGGGCCTGGAGCTGGAGGAGGAGGCAGCCTCTGGGATCTTGGAGGGCCACGCGAGCCACAGTGATGAGTCTTTCCTCCACCCACCCACCACCATGCGCACCCCAAGAATTCTCCAGTCTGCTTCGTCACCATGTCCACCTCAACTCGGCTGGACCCTACCACTCAGAAGCAGCCCTCCTGTCACCTTGTGGTGCCCTGAACGTGTGTGATTGAGATTGCGAGGCTGTCTAGAATATGAGGCTGGAGGGAGAGGCCAGGGAGGCAGGTGGCCAGGGGCTTCCTTCTTGAGGTCACCTTCACCCACCCCAGACATGCGCCATCCACGTTGCAGTTCTTCCCCAGCAGCCCACCTGTGTCCCCTCTGAAACCTCCTCATGTCTTGGCCTCCTCAGGGCACCGAACCCTGCCCCACAACAGGCCACACCGCCGCCACCACTGCTCCACACTGCCCTGGTGCACTAGGACCACTCCTCACTGTCTTTAGGTGCCCAGGCCCCTTCCCCATGGTGGGCCAGGGGCCCTGCCTGCCCCTTCCCACCTGCCTCAGGAAGGTGGCTCCAACTCTGCTCTCTGCTTAGTGAGCAAGTGGACTGAGACGCACAGCCGTGAGCACGGGTAGGTACAGTTCGTCTCCATGTCCTCTCTTTCTTCTGCTCTCTAACCCCCTTCTCTCCTCCTACCCACAGTCCCCCTCTGTGTTCCTTTTCCCCTGCTTTGCACACTCGTCTCAGTCCTCAGAGTTACCAGTTCTTAGCTAACCTGCGTGGACAAGTTTCTGATCCCTTCACTTCACTCAATGTGAAAGTCACTGTGGCCCTGCCTTAAAGGAGCCTTGGAGCCTATGGCAGCCCCTGGGCAGTGCAGCTTTACCCTCTCCCAGTGCTGGGGGCTCTCTCTAGCTGGTACCTGATTTCTGGTAATATCTGATATGGTCCCCAGAGGACAGCTACCACATATGGCCCAACAGATTCTCCGAGGCGGATTCCTGGTGTAGAAAGAAACTCAAAATGGATCCTTGGTCCTTTCAAGCCACGTGTCCCAGCCAGGCTGGAGGCCTCTACCTTGGGTTGGCCTAGTGGATAGAGTGCCCAGTTAGCCCCGTGCCTTGTATCAACAGCTAGAAAGGACAGCCACTCTGAGGAGGCCCATGAAGTGGGAGGAAACTCCAAGGACTTTTGCTTGTGCACAAAAGGGACACTGTGACTTCTCTCAAGGACCTAATCTGTAGGCATCCTGCCCTTTAGAGTCCAGAGGATCTGACCCTGCTGGGCCCTGTGGCCATGGTCATTTTTTTTGGTTTCCCCTCCTATAAATAGAAGAGGTGGCAGGCTTTCATTCATTCCTCAGAGTCCTGGGATCTAGAGTTGCCGCAAGGGCGTCCTCTGACCCCACTGCTCCCCCAGTCATCAGAATGGCTCCTGCTTTGAAGTTGGAATAAGGCTTGTTCCTGCCACACCGGGGCACTCACTGCTCCCACAAGGCCCTCTTCCGTGCAGGCCTCCCTGCTTTGGTGTAATTTGTTTTTTCTCACTTCCTGTGTCCCTCTTCAGTGTAAAAGGAGCAGGGGGAAAGAGGCATCTCCTGCCTGTCTCTATCCAGCAGATGAGGGCAAAACGGACACTGCAGGAGGTGGATGCTTGTTAGGAACAAAAGTGCACGTGCCCTTTTGTTTTTCACATTTTTCTTGGCCTAGGATTTAGGACATTCTACCAAGTACACAAAGCATCCCTCGTCCACTGTTCCCGTCGTATCGGGCTGCTGTCTCCTCTGCAGGGGAATCCTTGCCAAAGGTTGCAGGCCCCTCTTCCCAGCACAGTGAGCAGAGGGCCCGGGCTACCGGACACCCACGGTAACCCAAAAAAGCCAGAGCCCGTTTTCTAAAAGAACAGGAACAGAATCTCAAGTCCTGGCCAGGCTGCTGTCGTGGAAGGGATCATGACTGCCCCTTCCTCTTCACATCTTGCTTTAGCTGTCCCCAGCCTGAGCACTCCAAGGGAGAAGTGGGAATTCACTGGGCTGGACTCTGCCTCCAGTTGGCTGTTGGGGCGCCTTGGGTGCCTCCTGAGGGGGTGCCTCCTGAGTGTGGCCTGTGTGTTCAGGGGGCCAGGGAGAAAGCCCTCAGGACACTGCTATCCTTTCCAGCCCTCAGCAGAGGATCCTAACTGGCTAGTGGGAGTGAGCACCATCTTGGAACAGCGGACTCTGTGAAGAAGAACGCACCGTGGGACCCTGGCTCACCATTTCTCCCCACGTTTCTTTTCAGATGCGCTGGCTCCCTCCCTCCGAGGCTACTTCTCAGGGCTGGAAGTCCCGTCAGTTCTGCTGAGCATTGTGTAAGTACTTGACTTCACTGAGGGACACGCAGAGCCCCCAGCTCGTGGTGCTTAGTGGATTTCCATAACAGCAGCCTTCCCCCTTCCTCCAGGCCCACACCACACCTGCACTCCTGTTCTTGTGCATCTTTGAAAACATGACCTCTGAGGTGGCAAGGCATCTCTTCCAAGAGAGTTTTCACTTCGGAACAAGGGAGCAGTAAGGGATGGCTGTTGACACTGTTTGCTGTGCTGGTTGAGGCTAACTTAGGAATCTGATTGCTGTCCATCCCACTTTGTAACCAAGCCGTCAATGGTAGTTTCTAGAGAACTGGTATCAGAAAATTCCATGACATGTTCACTGGCTGCCAGCCTTAAGCAGAAACCTTCCTTGCAGGAATAAGTCATCCTTTCTGTACCAGATTTTTGTACAGAAAGCAGTGTACTGTTTCCAGTAGATTTTCCTTAAGGGTTTTGTTGTTTTATTTCCTGTTTTGTTATTGTTGTTTTGCAGTACTGGGGTTTGAACTCAGGGCCTTGTGCTTGCCACTTGAGCCATACCTCAAGCTCAAGATATTTTTTTAAAAAATTTATTATATTATTGTCCTGCTGGGGGTACATTGTGACATTTACAAAAATGCTTGTATTATCTCTTAGTTAAATTCTCCCCCTCCATCATACTCCTTTATCCCCCTTTTTTTTGTCTTGATGGAAACAATATCCTAAATTGGCTTCCTGGTGTCATTAGGTCTACTGTTGCTTCACACAGCCGCCATATGCATTTCTTTTCTATAAATGTGGGACTTCTATAAAAATCCAAATGCCTTCTATAATTCAGTATCTTGACTAAATTCTGAACCATAATTTGGTATGCAACTTTGGGAAGTGTGTCTAAACTGAAGTTTTCTAAGTGTTATATTTTCATGGTCAGCCTCCTCTTGGGTTACGTCATCCCTTCATGCAATAGGAAGAAATATAAGAGGAGGGAAGAACCAACCGGTTAGAAATGCTCCGGAGGTCTTGGCTAGCTGTGTGCCCGGGTACCAAATGCTAAGTCAGGGGCCTTTTCTTAAAGAATTTCTATTTTAAAATAAAAAATAGTTCCAAATAAAACTGATACTCTTACTTCTTCTCTCACCATCGATGCAGAGTTCCATGTGCTTTCTAGGCCACTTGGGGCTCTTGGAGAGGTACTGTGTTGAAAGAACACACAGTGCCCTTAGGTTTTGGTAACTGAGGTTCCATTCAAATGGTGACATGGTTGCAAGTGCTCTCTGGGAAAAGATAGCAGAAATGGTGGGCATTGGAGCTGGCTCCATGCTGTTCCATGCCCCCTTCGGAGGAGGAAGAACTCAGAGTAAGACTTTAAGAGAGTCCTGGGGATTACTTTCCACAGGCCAGTCGCCCTGTCTCAGTTGGTGGGTCAGGTCACCTTTGAGATGCAGGGAGCTGCTGAGCGTGCACTCCTTGGTGTAGCTCTGAGCATGGTGGGAGGTCAGTGTTTCCACACGAACTCTGGTCCTGGGTCAGAAGGAGGCTTTTGTTCTCAAGGGAAGGGCCTCACCCAGCAGGACAGAACGAACTAGGACCAGGTGTGCAGGTCGGCAGTGGCAGGTGCCGAGTTGGGAGCGAATAACTTTAGTGTGGCGATTTCCATTGGTGAAGTTGGCAAGCAATGGTGGCACAGTGCCCAGGAAGGGCTTTTTTTTCTGTCATTAGGCAGTTGCATGGGCTCCAGTTCCAATCAAAAAGATCCTGGGCTTTGTTTGCTGGACTGGCTTGGCATGTTTTTTTCCAAGCACTGTTCTCCGTAGACTCATTAAGGTGCCTGGCTGCCAGAGGTCCAGAGACAGCAATGGCTACCGAAATATGTATTGAGCTAAACATGGTCCAGGAGCCAGACCTTTCCCCAGGATCTGGAGGGAGTGAGGAGGAGAGGTGGTGAGGAGGGAGCACGGGTCATAGTGCTCATTACTACTGCGATCAGAGTCAGACCCTTGCAGTGCGGTTCTGCTACTCCAGCTCTTCTGCTCTCTTGGACCAAGTCCTTTCCAAGACAGCTAATAATCCAGCCTACGTAATATTAGGGAAACGTAAATTAGAATTGGAAACCGTAGTGCTGATGAGCAATCTAAACACGTGACACCAAAGCAAGTCTGTCAGAAAAGCCAAATGAAACGCAGGTGTCCCCATACCACAGAGAAGGCATTCTTCCTCACTTCTTGTTTTCCCTGCAGGTAGCAGAACAGATGAGGGCAGAAGCAGTGTCTGTTGTCAGGGTGGCTTTCACCTCTGGTGTGATGGAGTGTCGAATGCCATCCTTCACTGCCCAAACTGTCCATGGCCTGCTTCCCCGGAAGCCCTTGGATTTTTTTTTTTTTTTTTTTTTTTGTCAAAAGGAAGATTTGAACCCGGGGCCTCATGCTTGCTAGGCAGTCACTCCACCAGTTGAATCACTCCACCAGCCCTGTTTTTTATTGGGGTTTTTTTTTGAGATAGGGTCTTGTGAACTATTTGCCCGGGCTGGCTTCGAACCGTAATCCTCCTGATCTCTGCTCCTGAGTAGCTAGGATTACAGGTGTTGGCCTCTGGCTCCCAGCAATTATTTATACCACTGTGCTTCCTTTCTAGGAAGATGAAATAGGGAATGGAATCTCTCTGGTGTGGTTTTTTTTGGTTTTTTTTTTTTTGTTTCCTGCAGTACTGGGTGGGATTTTTAATTATCCATTTTGACTACACTAGAAATGTAAACTGAAGTAGTTCTCTTTATTTTCTAATTATACATGTGTCTACCGTGTGCCCCTAAGGAGCCCACACTTTAATTGGGGGATTGGGGACGCATTATATGGAGAGAGTAACTACGGATACTTCAGGATCATCCTGGTATGTCCCTCTCACTGATGGCATGAGGACAGTCGCCAGAGGACTGGCTGTCCTGGTTCTGAATTTGCCCAGCAGTGACCTAATGTTGTTTAGTCTGTTCACATGCTATATTCCCCATCAGTCAAGTTTTGGTAATGGGCCAACCACATGACAGAGAAACCCAGAATACACGATAATGTTTGGAAATTATCAGTTTCCCAGATACATTGGGAACAGGAAAGCATGAGCTAGTTTTTTGTCAGTCCATACAAGTAATGAGAGTCACATAGTTTTTCTTGTTGAATAGAAAGAGTTTGGAAGTTAGGGTGGGTATGAGTGGGGATTCTTAAGAACTTGTGAGATTTCCCATGGCACAGAAATTATAAGCACTTGTTCCTACAGCCACTCCAAACTAGAGAAGGGCGTGGTGAGAGAACACGGGTGATGTTTGAAGCAGTTTATTCTTTACATCTTGTTTGGGAAGGAATGGTCTAGCCTGTGCTGGCTGTGAGCACAGCGCTTGGAGTATTGCTCTGGACTGATGTGGAGAGGGAGAGGTATTGTGTCTTCCACACAGGCCCAGACAGCTGCTGTGGCTCCTGCAGATACCCCTGTCCTCTCCCCAGAAGATACCTGGATGTTGTGCTTTCACACTATATAGTGTGTCCAGAAACCAGGGCAATTCTTGTGACTGATTTCCCCTTCCCATTCTATGAGAGGACATGTGCCCGTGTCAGTGTGATGAGGAGGTGGATAATAGGACAATGAAGTAAACCTACAATGACAGGTGACAGGGGAAGTGAAGCCTGCGAGGCGTGAGGAGACAGAGAGGTCAGTAGTTCCTTCTGTTTTCTGCTGGAGGCCATGCAGGTCAGGTCAGCTTGAGAACATAGCTGAGCAGGACCCTTAACCAACACCCAGCTCAGACCCCACCTGGCTATGTTTGGAGAATAATGTCACTTCTTTGGTCCTCTTGCCTCTCCCATTGCTAAATCAAAGTAGCTGCACTTGAAATGCAGTGGGCCTGGTTCAGGGGAGGCCCCAAGGAGCCCCTGGAAGAGGCGGCTGGCTGCACAGGGTTGCCCTTCTCTGGGAGAGGCTTCTCTGCCCTCTGGGGAGACAGCCCTGGATCTGTGACAGCTCTGAGTCTGGGGTGAGGCGTGGTTGCTCTGTCAGTTAAAAAAGTGGGGAAGGGTCAGACACACAGCGGTGGGGGGTGTGCTCCTTCCAGCACTGTGACCCTTTCCAGTACTGTGTCTGGCAAGTCCCTGGAAGCGTTTAAAGAGGGTGGCCATATGAGATGAGGACATTGAGTCTTGGTGGGTTTACAACCCAGGTCAGGCCACAATATCCAGTTCCATCGTCTGTCCTATTTGGCCTTCCAGGGAAATTCAGAAGGCCTCCGTGCTCAGCTTGAGGTAGAAAATGAACACCTTTGGGATTCCATTTGCTTTGGGGAGTCATCTCACGGATCTTACATACACTTACTGCCCACTGGGTGACAGCTGGTGTGCACAGCCGTTGTTGAGGTAATAACTGGACAGAGCAGCCTTTTGAAGAAACCCAGGCTCCTGCTAAAACAGGGTGAGTTAGGAAGCCTAAGCGCAGAGGACAAGGGGAATCTGCCATCAGTGTGACTCCTTCAGAAACAGGCATCCTAAAATGCAGCATGGGCAGTCTCAGGAGGCACCCTGGGCCTGCTGCTGCCGGTCAGGCCATGCCTCCCTGGTCCACTCCTGGAGTGTGATGAGGGCTGAGAGAGGATGGGTGAGCTGCTTGGTTTCATTTGTAAGGATGCCCATTATTTTTCTGCCCTCAAATAGTAGGAAACTGGAATTACACCTACCCATCTTTAAATGCTTTCATAGTGAAATTTACGGAGAACATTTTTGCCCTTAATTTTGAAAAGACCAGTCCTAGGAAGGCAGCCTTTCCTTTCCCCACTAAGTCCAAAGGGGAGTGGTTTCAGCACAGGATCAATGTCTCTCCCTCACCAGGCAGCCTCCAGTGCTAACTGTGCCCCAGGCGTTGTGGGGAGCTCAGTTTAAGAGCTTTGTTTCTTTTGGACTCCATCTTGGGAGGCCCTTTGTGCAGGAAATAGCCTATCTGCCTGCAGGAAGAAAAACAGCAGTGGGGCGGATGGAAGGGGGGGCAGGGAGGTGCAGCAGGAGCATTGGTGTTGACAGGCTCCTTTTCTTGGCAGCAGAATTCTGTGGCAAGCAGCTAGCCCAGAGGCCCCCCGGCCTCCAGGTGAAGAGTATTAAAAATGCATTATTTGCTGGGTCTCTGTATCTTTGGATTTCAAAACACTCAGCCCCTAGAGCATCACAGGTCATGTTCACAGATGTGCTTCCTTTTGGCTTTGTTTTGGCTCTGCTGGGAGAAGAACTTGGTCACTTGAGCAGGACAGCGCAGAGCTCTCATGGCCTGGTGCTGAACAAACCTGTTTTGATCGGAGACAGCCCTGGAGCTGGTTGCCATCCTGAGCCTTCCTGAATGGGGCTTTGGGTCCTATGCCTCTGCGCGGAACCTTTGGGTCACTGCTCAGGGCCTAGCACACGGTCTTTGGGATCCAACCACATGACCACATGCAGAGTTCTCAAGGGCTGGGACAGGCAGCCTCCCTGCTGTCCTGGCCCAGAAGACCTCACACTACTAAGTCCTGAGGTCGCTTTCCTGGCTGCTAACTTTCCTGTAAGGTCCCTCTGCTGTAGCATCTGTCCTCAGTTTAGCACAAAACCCTTTGGTGCCTTTGTCCCGGCCTCTGAGCTCCTTGTCGTCCCAACAGAATGCAGTCATCATTAAGAACCAGGGCCCCAGCAGGCAACCACAGGAGGGGGTGCCATGCTTGGTTAATGGGCAATCTCTCTGTCCACCCAGGTCCCAGGTGTGTGATGGCGGCTGCAATCTGTCTTGTGGGTATTAATGAGGTCTTCACTGGTGGCGACTCTTCTCCAGCTGTTCTGCAAAACTGGAGCGTGCTGGTGAGTGCCGAAGGAGATGCCAGCCGGTGTGGTCAGGACAGGCACCAGTGTTAGCTGGGACCCTGAGAGCTGGGGCCTCTGCTGGGCCCGCAGTCCTGCACTCTCCTTCCCCAGGTGGTCTGGTGGGCGCTTTCTCCCCCAGCCAAGGCCTGCTTAGGGAAAGGACATTCAGGACAACAACAGGTAGTCTTCAGGGTGTGTTGCGGCCTTCTCAGGTGAGCTGGCTCTGTTCACCTACTTGCCTATCTGATGGCACCCACCTCTGGAGTTTTACAGATAAGTGAAGCTTTTCCCCTTCAGCTCCTAAGCTTTGTTTAGGAATCCCAGCACTTCGTTGGACATCTATTTCAGATACAGTGTTTATGTTCCCTCTTGCCTTACCAATCCAATTATGCTGAGACTGTAGCAGATCTCTCCGTGTAGCCCAGGCGGGCCTCAACTCAATCCTCCTGCCTCCACTCTCAAGTGGTGAGATTACAGGTGTGCTTCACCATGTTCAGCCCTAGCTAGTAGTATTTTAAAAAAGGCAAATAATGTACATTCCTAGAGCTGACCTGCCTGCCAGGCACCACATGTAGGGGCTCTGTATTTGGAAAGCTTAGCATGGAGCTGCAGCATGGTAGGGGTCAAGGACAGTTTGTGTGTCAGCCCAAATAAGGTGGCAAATTTCATCCCTATGAGGGGCCATAAAAAAGATGAGTCACAGAGGAAGGCAAGATTCCTGCTGAGGACAGAGGACCAGGCACCTTTCTGGGCTCACATCTCGTGCTTAGTGCTTGTTGTGAAGCACTGTCTTCTGGTGTCTCACACTGCAGCTCGCCTCGCCTGGGCAGCATTCTGGACAGGAAGGGAGTCCCCTGCACTGCAGCATTTTCTTAGTGACACAAGCGTACAGCTCGAACATCTTCCACACATACAGGGCGGCTGGCATTTACCCCCAGTTTCTATGACCTTCTCCTCTTACTAGCTTTTCCTTTTGTCATGGTTCCCAACAGGAACGCTCATGATACTGCTGATGTTATCAAACTGTTATAGAAGACATGGTTTTCTTTTTCCTCCTCTGGGGAAAATTTAAAAAACAACTTAAAGCCACCATGCAATTTTTTGGAAACAGGGTAGGCATGATTTTTCCCCCCAGTGCTAGGGAAGGAACCCAGCCTTCCACTTTAAATGCAGCAAAGAGACTGACATGTCATTCTAAGCACAAGCCCAGTGAAGGCAGCAGATGGCAATTTCGAACCTGACAACTGAGGGGCCTCGTGGTAGGAGGACAGATGCCCCAGAAGTGTTAGAGGTGCGGAAGAGCTCAGTGATGCCCTCAACACTGAGCCAGTTGGTTGTGGTGCCCCAGTTCCCAGGCCACCGTGGGTTACCGGAGCAAGTGTGAAGAAGGCTATTCTTATTCCAAATCTGAGGGCAGACAACACGGCTATGTGACCTGCCTTGAAGGGCAGAGATGGATGTCATCTGCCCCCAGGACTGGGCCTTCTCTGTGGAGCTGGAGCCATGCACTGGCATTGCCAGGGGAGGCAGGGAGAGATTGGTGTCTCTTCCCCTAGAGGCACTATAGACGATGAGCTAGTTTATTACTATCAGTACTTGAAAAGAAACTCACCACCCTTACAAATTGCAATCACTTGTGATAGGATATTCCATGTTTATTTGGAGTTTGATGGAGGGGAATATTCCCTACAGGATTTTGGGTGAAAATAAGTGCTAGAGGGTTAAACCTGGGGAGGAATCATAGTAATTAGTTCAAGAGTGCGTGAGCAGGGAAAGCAAAGAGCCGTTTCTCAGCAATGGGCTGAAAACTCACAGGGCACCAGGACAAGCCTACCAGAAGTTGAGTAAGGTAGAGCAACTACTCTGGTCCCATGGGTATTGTTAGGTGTTCCATAATCTCACCAGCAGGCAACGACCCCCCCATGTACTGATCTTTAATATAAATGCAACTGAAATATCTCACAATTTTATAAATACTCCTTAAGATGCTGGAGACCTCAGAGGATGTCTTCATGCCCCATCACTTGCATATCGTCAGCCCTCTTTCGGGAAAAGGATCTACCCCGCGTCACCCTGGCTCACTGTCCCTCTGAGGTGCTTCATGTTCCCGGATGTCTTTGGACTTTGTTTAAGTGTCCTTGTTAATACATTCCAAGGTTTGAACTCCATTCCCAGCTAAACCTCTTCTTGTTTACAAGGACTGAAATAGCCACATTTTGACCTTGTGTTCAATCTGGGAACGTCCATGGCAGTGTGGATACATTCTTTTCCCATGTGAGAATTTTATCAACATGGCACAGTTTTGGAAACTTCAGGAAACTATACACTCATCTCCTCTTCTCCCTGCACTTCAGAAAATCAGCTTTTCCACCCTTCTTCCTGTGCAGAGGTGCGTTACAAAGCCCAGCCAGAAAGGTTGCTTCCTCTAGAAGGCATCTCTGGGCTGGTGTGCAGAGCATAGAGTGGACCCAAGCTCAGTGCCACATCCCATTAGTGGCCCATTTCATTTGCCTAAAGTCCAAGTGTCTCAAAGAAGAAATGGCATTTTTGTCGCATGCAAGTGACTATCTGGGGTTGAGGAAGAAAAGAGATTTTAGGCAGGAAAATAGCATCCAAGATAACCCCTGTGAAAGCCAAAGTATCCCAGGAGGAAGCCCTGCAGGTTGATGGGATCAGGAAGATGGGTTTTAAGAGACAGTAGGTTTGTAGGTGCCATGGGTGATTAGGACAGGCGAGAGAATGCAAACAGCTTGGGAAAGAGCCTCAAAAGATTTTGGGCTTGGGAAGCCCCTGGAATAAATGAGTGACGAATATAAAATGGTTGAAGATTCAAAAGTGTAGGAGCACAGAGATGCAAACCCAAGGTGGTGACATTGTGGGAAGGAGATGATCCAACAGTGCCAGGCCATGTGGAGTCATTGTAAAGGATGAGCAGCTTGGTGATGGGTTTGGGTGTAGGTACATTGCCTTTGAGGTCTTGGCAGGACTGTCCCAGTGGAAGCTGACAGCAATGGGGAGAGCAATCTTCTAGTCTTAAGAGGATAGGGCAATCTGCTGGGTATTGAGGGGGGGGAGCGGGAGGGGGTGGAGTGGGTGGTAAGGGAGGGGGTGGGGGCAGGGGGGAGAAATGAACCAAGCCTTGTATGCACATATGAATAATAAAAGAAAAATGAAAAAAAAAAAAAAGAGGATAGGGCAAGCAGTGTGCACTTACCAGGACTTGTTGAGCTCTCTGGAGATGAGCCAGGCCCCTGCCAGGGACTCCACCACCCTGAGCCAGCATTCCTGGCCCACAGAAGCAGGGCTCACATACCTGTCGGTTCCCTGAAAGCAGCACAGCAGCTTCAGTTGCAGGCCATTAACCTGGATGCATCCTCACCACAGCCAGGCTGCTTTCCCAAGATGGCCCTCTCAGCCCAGAGGGGACAAGGCTGCCACATGGTATCCACTGTGAATCAGTGAAGCAGGAACTGCCACAATTACTGTTCTTCAGCTTGAGCTGGTGTGTGGTCAAGTTTAGAATGAGGTGGAGCTTGGGGAAGGAAACTGTCCAGTTTCACTCCACTGTGACAGGCCCTCCAGGGGGACCCAGGTGGGAGAGTCAGTGCCTTTTCAGCCTTTGCTGATTCTGAGAGCACGGGCTCCTTTGGCAGTTAAAAGGCAGGTCAGGCATTAGTGGCAGAAGGGCGAGAGCTCACAAAGGAACTTATGCTGCTATCACCCCGCAGGTGACAGAGTCATCTCACTGAGCATCACAGGATGTGTGGCCTGCATCAGAGAAAGGCATGAACAGCCCGCCTACGCTGATTTCCTTATCACATGCGTGTTCACACACTCATACTGGGCACCGGGGGAGGCAAAGAAATCAGAATACAAGAATTTCCTGCAGTGTGTCTGGCTCACCCCAGGACAAATCCTTCTAATTCAGATATGCTGAGGTTGTGCAGAGACGGTGGAATTGTGCTGGGATCACTGAGGTGGATATGAGGCACTCGCAGAGTTACAGTGGGGAGCATTTCCCAGCCAAAGGGATCTCTGGTTTGGCCTCATTATTGGTTGTATCCATTTACAACAATGTCATCTAAAAACTGGGATGTGAAGGTATATACCGTCACATTTCAGAGTGAATACAGCCAACAGTGTACAGGGTTTGTATTTATAAGGTTATCCCATGAGCCATGTTTTTTATTCTTGGTTTTTTGGGGTTTTTTTGTTTGTTTGTTTGTTTTGTGGTACTGGGACTTGGGACTCAGGGCCTACACCTTGAGCTACTCCACCAGCCCTCCTCTGTGAAGGGGTTTTTTGAGATAGGGTCTCGTGGAACTATCTGCCTAGCTTTGAACCCTGATCCTCCTGATACCTGCCTCTGGAGTAGCTAGGATTACAGACGTGAGCCACCAGCACCCAGCCCATTACCATGTTTGAGTGCTCATAAATATTTCTCTGAATTCAGGATTTATTGCCAAACAGCATCTTCCAAACAAGTCTACCTTGGAACAGTTAAGTGGGTTGTTACCAGTAGTGGTTTTTTCCTTTATACAGAAATAAGTACTTCCCTGTACAAACCAGGTTTTTCTATGTACACCTGTTCTGTAACTACAAATATATATTAGAGAGAGAAAGTAAAATGACAGAATAGTAGAGGTTTTACTATGTATTCTGGACACAAATTAAGTAAACCCAAGCAATACAGATGTGTGTTTAAGAAAATCAAGGACGTGGGCTGGGGGCAGACAACTTGCCTAGCATTTTCCAAGACCTGGGTTCGATCCCTATTACCACCAAAAAAAAAAAAACAAAAACACCCAGATGTGGTGCACACCTGTAATTCCAGCACTCAGGAAGCAGGAGGGAGGAGGAGCTGGAGACCAGTCTTAAAAGGGAAAAAAAACTGGAACCAGTACCAGATAGGCGGGACTTGGGTAATTGCCTGAAGGTCTATTTTATTCATTTTGGGAGATAAAGGGTCTTGCTATGTAGCCCAAACTGGCTTGAAACTTGCCATCCTCCTGTGTCCCAAGTGCTGGAATTACAGATGTGCACCACCACACCCAGAAGAGAAGTAGAGGTCATTTAAGTTTCTATTATGTAAGAGGTAAGAAATGAAAATTAAAATGCTACCCATGAATCTTGTTGAGATAACTTGTGCGTGGCCTTTATTTGGAGGGTCAGTAAATACTCACCTGTGCACATACACTCCATTGGGAATCATGAGTTCTCCCACAGTTTCCTCAGCCGTAT